TCGATGAAAGCGCGTATAGCATAATATATTCGTATAGAAAAAATCACACCCGTCTATATACATATAGACAAGGAGTGACACTCGCCATCTTGGTCCTTAATCAATATTTTGCACTCGGTTCGAATCACAGCTGGATATTGCATGAAATATGTTACTTATTTCCACCTATTGGTAATGCTAAACAAACCATAGGCTACACAATCGTGTTCATCTGTGGACACCTTACCTCGTATTCATTTTAAAACAACCATCAAAGCAAGCACATCCATCAGCACCTGGACCAGCAACTACATCTACACAATCAGCACCAGGACCAGCAACTACATCTTCTCCATCAGCACCAGGACCAGCAACTACATCTACTCCATCAGCACCTAGACCATCAACTCCATCTACTCAATCAGTACCTAGACCAGCAACTTCATCTACTCCATCAGCACCTAGTCCAGCAACTACATCTACTCCATCAGCACCTGGACCAGCAACTACATCTACACCATCAGCACATAGACCAGCAACTACATCTACTCCATCAGCACCTGGACCATTAACTCCATCTACTCCATCAGCACCTAGACCAGCAACTTCATCTACTCAATCAGTACCTAGACCAGCAACTTCATCTACTCAATCAGTACCTAGACCATCAACTCCATCTACTCAATCAGTACCTAGACCAGCAACTTCATCTACTCCATCAGCACCTAGTCCAGCAACTACATCTACTCCATCAGCACCTGGACCAGCAACTACATCTACACCATCAGCACATAGACCAGCAACTACATCTACTCCATCAGCACCTGGACCATTAACTCCATCTACTCCATCAGCACCTGGACCAGCAACAACATCTACTCCATCAGCACCTAGACCAGCAACTACATCTACTCCATCAGCACCTAGTCCAGCAACTACATCTACTCCATCATCACCTGGACCGGCAACTACATCTACTCCATCAGCACCTGGACCAGCAACTACATCTTCTCCATCAGCACCAGGACCAGCAACTACATCTACTCCATCAGCACCAGGACCAGCAACTACATCTACACCATCAGCACCTAGTCCAGCAACTACATCTACTCCATCATCACCTAGGCCAGCAACTACATCTACTCCATCATCACCTGGACCAGCAACTACATCTACTCCATCAGCACCTAGTCCAGCAACTACATCTACTCCATCAGCACCTGGACCAGCAACTACATCTACTCCATCAGCACCTGGACCAGCAACTACATCTACTCCATCAGCACCTAGACCAGCAACTAAATTTACTCCATCAGCACCTAGTCCAGCAACTACATCTACTCCATCAGCACCTGGACCAGCAACTACATCTACTCCATCAGCACCTGGACCAGCAACTACATCTACTCCATCAGCACCTAGACCAGCAACTACATCTACTCCATCATCACCTAGGCCAGCAACTACATCTACTCCATCAGCACCTGGACCAGCAACTACATCTACTCCATCAGCACCTAGACCAGCAACTACATCTACTCCATCAGCACCTAGTCCAGCAACTACATCTACTCCATCATCACCTAGGCCAGCAACTACATCTACTCCATCATCACCTGGACCGGCAACTACATCTACTCCATCAGCACCTAGTCCAGCAACTCCATCTACTCCATCAGCACCTAGTCCAGCAACTACATCTACTCCATCATCACCTGGACCAGCAACTACATCTACTCCATTTACACGTCAATTTGTAAACAGAAATGGCGACTCCGATTCACGTAGGTAACGTCTGCTTTTAGGTATCATAAGTGTCACCACTCAATAAAGGACATATGAAAAGTAGGTACGTAGAATAACACTTTACCAAATTATATATTTTGACATTTGCATCGGTCTAATTCTCTAGGTTAAAACTGTTCATAGTGTTATTTGAAACGGCAGGCTATGTGACTGTACACTGTAGTGTAGACCAAGATGAGATTAGGTCCATAATACGTTTCTAAAACTTAAAATACATCACACACACAAATACACCTCGCAGGTTTAGATTCTGTGGGAAAGTATCTGTTATGTGATGCCATTAACAACTATTTTAGGCAAAGCATGTGTATCACTAACGACATCTGAAAATAGTGTACAACGAAAATATTGCCACTTCCGCATTTTACCAATTCACTGTTCTAAATGTGATTATTTATTCAAATAACGTATAGCTACATGAGAAGTTCAGTTACAAAATCACTGGGGGTCTGCTCTTTGTCCAAACACTAATCATCATTCCGAAAAGACTCCGATAACCCTATGTTCGTTTTCGAAACATAAAAACTTTGGACCGAACCGATAGCATTGCAAAATCACGTACGGTTCTTCTCGCGTCAGGAGAGATACCTGTCACATCACATGTATTTCACACTCAGCTACGACACATACATCACTGAATTCATCATACCATTAAGAATCAATTGACATTTTGCCTAAGTCACTTATACAAACGGTCCAAAGGAAATCAACCGAAATATTCAAGTGTGAAACAAAACACGGCAGTGGTTCAACTAGACAGTGATAATGTCAGGCAGTAACACAACTAGACAGTGACAGTGTCAGGCAGTAACACAACTAGACCTTGACAGTGTCAGGCAGCAATAAAACTCGACTGTGACAGTGTCAGGCAGTAATACAACTAGACAGTGACAGTGTGTCAGGCAGTAACACAACTTGACCTTGACAGTGTAAGGCAGTAACACAACTAGACCTTGACAGTGTAAGGCAGTAACACAACTAGACCTTGACAGTGTCAGGCAGTAACACAACTAGACCTTGACAGTGTCAGGCAGTAGCGCAACTAGACCTTGACAGTGTAAGGCAGTAACACAACTAGACTGTGACAGTGTCAGGCAGTAATACAACTAGACAGTGACAGTGTCAGGCAGTAACACAACTAGACCTTGACAGTGTCAGGCAGTAACACAACTAGACCTTGACAGTGTAAGGCAGTAACACAACTAGACCTTGACAGTGTCAGGCAGTAACACAACTAGACAGTGACAGTGTCAGGCAGTAACACAACTAGACCTTGACAGTGTCAGGCAGTAACACAACTAGACCTTGACAGTGTCAGGCAGTAACACAACTAGACCTTGACAGTGTCAGGCAGTAACACAACTAGACCTTGACAGTCTCAGGCAGTAACACAACTAGACCTTGACAGTCTCAGGCAGTAACACAACTAGACCTTGGCAGTGTCAGGCAGTAACACAACTAGACCTTGACAGTGTAAGGCAGTAACAAAACTAGACCTTGGCAGTGTCAGGCAGTAACACAACTAGACCTTGACAGTGTCAGACATTAATACAACTAGACTGTGACAGTGTCAGGCAGTAACACAACTAGACCTTGACAGTGTCAGACAGTAATACAACTAGACTGTGACAGTGTCAGGCAGTAACACAACTAGACCTTGACAGTGTCAGGCAGCAATACAACTAGACTGTGACAGTGTCAGGCAGTAATACAACCAGACTGTGACAGTGTCAGGCAGTGATACAACTAGACTGTGACAGTGTCTGGCAGTAGTACAACTAGACTGTGACAGTGTCAGGCAGTAATACAGCTAGACTGTGACAGTGTCAGGCAGTAATACATCCAGACTGTGACAGTGTCAGGCAGTAGTACAACTAGACTGTGACAGTGTCAGGCAGTAATACAGCTAGACTGTGACAGTGTCAGGCAGTAATACATCCAGACTGTGACAGTGTCAGGCAGTGGTACAACTAGACTGTGACAGTGTCAGGCAGTAATACAACCAGACTGTGACAGTGTCAGGCAGCAATACAACTAGACTGTGACAGTGTAAGGTAGTGGTACAACTAGACTGTGACAGTGTCAGGCAGTGGTACAACTAGACTGTTACAGTGTCAGGCAGTAATACAACTAGACTGTGACAGTGTAAGGTAGTGGTACAACTAGACTGTGACAGTGTCAGGCAGTGGTACAACTAGACTGTTACAGTGTCAGGCAGCAATACAACTAGACTGTGACAGAGTCAGGCAGCAATACAACTAGACTGTGACAGCGCCAGGCAGCAATACAACTAGACTGTGACAGTGTCAGGCAGCAATACAACTAGACTGTGACAGCGCCAGGCAGTAATACAACTAGACTGTGACAGTGTCAGGCAGTAATACAACTAGGCTGAGACAGCGCCAGGCAGTGGTGCAACTCTTGATATGAGCACCATCCAGGAAGGGGAAGATCACATGAGTTTGAAGGAGCATATGTGTACCAGGAAACAACGTCAGCAACACCAGGAGAAGCATTATGCAAAGCATTCTTGAAGTGGCTGGTGTAAATAAATTAGGCAAATTTCAAATAATTTTCCTCAAACATGGGGGGAAAAGTAATACTGTTTTGTTTGTTTGTTTGTTTTCTTGTTCAACACCGCACTCCAGCCACATGACGACGGTCTGACAATAATCCAGCCTGGACCAGACAATCTAGTGATTGACAGCATGAGCATCGATCCACGCAATTGGGATACGACATCATGCATCGACCAAGTCAGCGAGCCTGACCACCCGATGCCCCATGGATGTAGATGGGCAGAGGTAGCTGCGTTAATACTGAATAGAGTGCTACCCCGAATTCTTGACAGTCAAATATGAAAGGACGACATTACGTTGTAGCATTGCCTCCTCAATGTGCACACTGATTCGCGTATACTTGCTGGTTGTAAAATCTAAATTTCAAACTCACAAACTGGCACGGATAATAATGGTGTACAACTGAAACTTCCTGGTGTCTGTTCTGGTTCTTTCCGTCACAATACCGGTATTGACTAACACAGCAACAAGTTTAAATGAATCATCTTTCGCACAACGTGACAGTCACTATACAGATTCGGGGCGTTAGAAGTACGTCGCTTGGTCACTAATACGAGTTCCAATAAAATAAAATAGGTCGATGAAATGGATTTCAAAGACAATTATGTGTCGGACGGATTTCCAAGTGTGTGTAATTTCAACATATTTCCCAAAAACTTATATATCACACGCTAGTCACTGTGCGCGAGACAGTCGCATCATCTCTAATGCAGAACCAAACGTCGCTGGTTGCCTAAAGGCATACACTTTAAATGTGCAAAGGAACACACTGCTGTTGTCTAAAGGAACACACTGCTGTTGTCTAAAGGTACGTACACTGCTGTTGTCTAAAGGTACGTACACTGCTGTTTTTTTAAAGGAATACATTGCTATTGTCTAAAGTTACATACAGCTGTTGTCTAAAGTCATACATTAGTACTGCTGTTGTCTAACGGGAGACACAGCTGTTGTCTAAAGTCATACATTAGTACTGCTGTTGTCTTACGGAAGAAACTGCTGTTGTCTAAAGGAACACACTGCTGTTGTCTCAAAGAACACACTGCTGTTGTCTAAAGGAACACACTGTTGTTGTCAAAAGGAATACACTGCTGTTTTCTAAAGGAATACACTGCTGTTGTCTATAGGAACCCACTGCTGTTGTCTCAAGGAACACACTGCTGGTGTCTAAAGGAACACACAGCTGTTGTCTAAAGTCATACACAGCTGTTGTCTAAAGGAACACACTGTTCTTGTCTAAAGGAATACATTTCTATTGTCTAAAGTCATACACAGCTGTTGTCTAAAGTCATACACAGCTGTTGTCTAAAGGAATACACTGCTGTTGTCTAAAGGAATACATTTCTATTGTCTAAAGTCATACACAGCTGTTGTCTAAAGTCATACACAAGTACTGCTGTTGTCTAAAGGAACACACTGCTGTTGTCTAAAGGAATACATTTCTATTGTCTAAAGTCATACACAGCTGTTGTCTATAGTCATACACAAGTACTGCTGTTGTCTAAAGGAACACACTGCTGTTGTCTAAAGGAACACACTGCTGTTGTCTAAAGGAATACATTTCTATTGTCTAAAGTCATACACAGCTGTTGTCTAAAGTCATACACAAGTACTGCTGTTGTCTAAAGGAATACACTGCTGTTGTCTAAAGGAATACATTTCTATTGTCTAAAGTCATACACAGCTGTTGTCTAAAGTCATACACAAGTACTGCTGTTGTCTAAAGGAACACACTGCTGTTGTCTAAAGGAATACATTTCTATTGTCTAAAGTCATACACAGCTGTTGTCTATAGTCATACACAAGTACTGCTGTTGTCTAAAGGAACACACTGCTGTTGTCTAAAGGAATACACTGCTGTTGTCTAAAGGAATACATTTCTATTGTCTAAAGTCATACACAGCTGTTGTCTAAAGTCATACACAGCTGTTGTCTAAAGGAATACACTGCTGTTGTCTAAAGGAATACATTTCTATTGTCTAAAGTCATACACAGCTGTTGTCTAAAGTCATACACAAGTACTGCTGTTGTCTAAAGGAACACACTGCTGTTGTCTAAAGGAATACATTTCTATTGTCTAAAGTCATACACAGCTGTTGTCTATAGTCATACACAAGTACTGCTGTTGTCTAAAGGAACACACTGCTGTTGTCTAAAGGAACACACTGCTGTTGTCTAAAGGAATACATTTCTATTGTCTAAAGTCATACACAGCTGTTGTCTAAAGGAATACACTGTTGTTGTCTAAAGGAATACATTTCTATTGTCTAAAGTCATACACAGCTGTTGTCTAAAGTCATACACAAGTACTGCTGTTGTCTAAAGGAATACACTGCTGTTGTCTAAAGGAATACATTTCTATTGTCTAAAGTCATACACAGCTGTTGTCTAAAGTCATACACAAGTACTGCTGTTGTCTAAAGGAACACACTGCTGTTGTCTAAAGGAATACATTTCTATTGTCTAAAGTCATACACAGCTGTTGTCTATAGTCATACACAAGTACTGCTGTTGTCTAAAGGAACACACTGCTGTTGTCTAAAGGAATACACTGCTGTTGTCTAAAGGAATACATTTCTATTGTCTAAAGTCATACACAGCTGTTGTCTAAAGTCATACACAGCTGTTGTCTAAAGGAATACACTGTTGTTGTCTAAAGGAATACATTTCTATTGTCTAAAGTCATACACAGCTGTTGTCTAAAGTCATACACAAGTACTGCTGTTGTCTAAAGGAACACACTGCTGTTGTCTAAAGGAATACATTTCTATTGTCTAAAGTCATACACAGCTGTTGTCTAAAGTCATACACAAGTACTGCTGTTGTCTAAAGGAACACACTGCTGTTGTCTAAAGGAATACACTGCTGTTGTCTAAAGGAATACACTGCTGTTGTCTAAAGTCATACACAAGTACTGCTGTTGTCTAAAGGAACACACCGTTGTTGTCTAAAGGAATACATTTCTACTGTCTAAAGTCATACACAGCTGTTGTCTCAAGTCATACTCAGCTGTTGTCTAAAGTCATACACTAGTACTAGTACTGCTGTTGTCTAAAGGAACACACTGCTGTTGACATGCAATACTATTATTGTTAACATAAGGGAAGGATGTGACGGTGGACATGATATATAGAGAAGGCGACGAGCAGGTGTTGGAGTGAAAAGACGGATGATATGCTAAAAGGGGGAAGGTGAGCCTACGATGCGGAAGGTTAGACAGGGTGACATAGTACTACAGAAGGAAAGGTCGGATGGTGGCGACGTGCTAAAGTGGGAAATGTGAGACGTGGCGACATGTAAAAGTGGGGAATGTGAGACTGAGCGAGGTGCCAAAATTTGGGAAGGTGAGACGTGGCGACGTGCTATAGCGGGGAAGGTGAGACGCGTCGACGTGCTATAGTGGGGAAAGTGAGACGTGGCGACGTGCAATATTTGGGGAAAGTGAGACTTTGCGACGTGCTATAGTGGGGAAGGTGAGAGGAGGTGACGTGCTACATTGGGGAAGGTGAGATGTTGCGACGTGCTATAGAAGGGAAAGTGAGACGTGGCGACGCAATATTTTGGGAAAGTGAGACTTTGCGACGTGCTTTAGTGGGGAAGGTGAGACGAGGTGACGTGCTATAGTGGGGAAAGTGAGACGTGGCGACGTGCTATAGTGGCGGAAGTGAGACGTGGCGACGTGCTAAAGTGGGGAAAATAAGACGTGGCGACGTGCTTTAGTGGGGAAGGTGAGACGTGGCGACGTGCTTTAGTGGGGAAAGTGAGACGTGGCGACGTGCTATAGTCGGGGAAAGTGAGACTGGGCTAGTTGTTATAGTGGGGAAAGTGAGACGTTGCGACGTGTTATAGTGGGGAAAGTGAGACAGGGCTAGGTGTTATAGTTGGGAAAGTGAGACTTGGCTAGGTGTAAAAGTGAGGAAAGTGAGACTGGGCGAGGTGTATAGTGGGGAAAATGAGTGACAACGAGTTATATTTGGGGAAAGTGAGATTGGGCTAGGTGTTATAGTGGGGAAAGTGAGACTGGGGGACGTGCCATAGTGGGGAAAGTGAGACTGGGCGAGGTGTTATAGTAGGGACAGTGAGACTGGGCGAAGTGTAACAGTGGGGAAAGTGAGACTGGGCGCGGTGTATAGTGGGGAAAGTGAGACTGGGCGAGGTGTTACAGTGGGGAAAGTGAGACTGGGCGAGGTGTTACAGTGGGGAAAGTGAGACTGGGCGAGGTGTTACAGTGGGGAAAGTGAGACTGGGCGAGGTGTATAGTGGTGAAAGTGAGACTGGGCGAGGTGTTACAGTGGGGAAAGTGAGACTGGGGGAGGTGTTATAGTGGGGAATGTGAGCGACAAGGAGTTATAGGTGGGAAAAGGGAGACTGGGCGAGGTGTATAGTGGGGAAAGTGAGACTGGGAGAGGTGTATAGTGCGGAAAGTGAGACTGGGCTTGGTGCTATAGTGGGGAATGTGAGTGACAACGAGTTATAGGTGGGGAAAGTGAGACTGGGCGAGGTGTATAGTGGGGAAAGTGAGACTGGGCTAGATGCTATAGTGGGGAATGTGAGTGACAACGAGTTATAGGTGGGGAAAGTGAGACTGGGCGAGGTGTATAGTGGGGAAAGTGAGCCTGGGCGAGGTGTATAGTGGGGAAAGTGAGACTTGGCTAGGTGTTCTAGTGGGGAATGTGAGCGACAACGAGTTAGAGGTGGGGAAAGTGAGACTTGGCGAGGTGTTATAGCGGAGAAAGTGAGACGTGTTGACGTGGTATAGTGGGAAAAGTGAGACTGTGCGAGGTGTTGTAGCGGGGAAAGTGAGACGTGTTGACGTGGTATAGTGGGAAAAGTGAGACTGGGCGAGGTGTATAGTGGGGAAAGTGAGCCTGGGCGAGGTGTATAGTGGGGAAAGTGAGACTTGGCTAGGTGTTCTAGTGGGGAATGTGAGCGACAACGAGTTAGAGGTGGGGAAAGTGAGACTTGGCGAGGTGTTATAGCGGAGAAAGTGAGACGTGTTGACGTGGTATGGTGGGAAAAGTGAGACTGTGCGAGGTGTTATAGCGGGGAAAGTGAGACGTGTTGACGTGGTATAGTGGGAAAAGTGAGACTGGGCGAGGTGTATGGTGGGGAAAGTGAGACTGTGCGAAGTGTTATAGCGGGGAAAGTGAGACGTGTTGACGTGGTATAGCGGGAAAGTGAGACTAGGCTAGATGCTATAGTGGGGAATTTGAGTGACAACGAGTTATAGGTGGGGAAAGTGAGACTGGGCGAGGTGTACATCGGGGAAAGTGAGACTGGGCTATGAGCTATAGTAGGGAATGTGAGTGACGACGAGTTATAGGTGGAGTAAGTGAGACTGGGCGAGGTGTATAGTGGGGAAAGTGAGACTGGGCGAGGTGCTATAGTGGGGAATGTGAGTGACAACGAGTTATAGGTGGGGAAAGTGAGACTGGGCGAGGTGTATAGTGGGGAAAGTGAGACTGGGCGAGGTGTATAGTGGGGAAAGTGAGACTGGGCGAGGTGTATAGTGGGGAAAATGAGTGACAACGAGTTATATTTGGGGAAAGTGAGATTGGGCTAGGTTTTATAGTGTTGAAAGTGAGACTGGGCGACGTGCCATAGTGGGGAAAGTGAGACTGGGCGAGGTGTTATAGTAGGGACAGTGAGACTGGGCGAGGTGTATAGTGGTGAAAGTGAGACTGGGCGAGGTGTTACAGTGGGGAAAGTGAGACTGGGGGAGATGTTATAGTGGGGAATGTGAGCGACAAGGAGTTATAGGTGGGGAAAGTGAGACTGGGCGAGGTGTATAGTGGGGAAAGTGAGACTGGGCGAGGTGTATAGTGCGGAAAGTGAGACTGGGCGAGGTGTTACAGTGGGGAAAGTGAGACTTGGCGAGGTGTATAGTGGTGAAAGTGAGACTGGGCGAGGTGTTACAGTGGGGAAAGTGAGACTGGGGGAGATGTTATAGTGGGGAATGTGAGCGACAAGGAGTTATAGGTGGGGAAAGTGAGACTGGGCGAGGTGTATAGTGGGGAAAGTGAGACTGGGCGAGGTGTATAGTGCGGAAAGTGAGACTGGGCTTGGTGCTATATTGGGGAATGTGAGTGACAACGAGTTATAGGTGGGGAAAGTGAGACTGGGCGAGGTGTATAGTGGGGAAAGTGAGACTGGGCTAGATGCTATAGTGGGGAATGTGAGTGACAACGAGTTATAGGTGGGGAAAGTGAGACTGGGCGAGGTGTACATCGGGGAAAGTGAGACTGGGCGAGGTGTATAGTGGGGAAAGTGAGACTGGGCGAGGTGTATAGTGGGGAAAGTGAGACTGGGCGAGGTGTATAGTGGGGAAAGTGAGTGACAACGCGTTATAGGTGGGGAAAGTGAGACTGGGCGAGGTGTATAGTGGGGAAAGTGAGACTGGGCGAGGTGTATAGTGGGGAAAGTGAGACCTGGCAACGAGTTATAGTCGGCGATGTGAGCCTGAGCGAGGTGTTATAGCGGAGAAAGTGAGACGTGTTGACGTGGTATAGTGTGAAAAGGGAGACTGTGCGAGGTGTTATAGCGGGGAAAGTGAGACGTGTTGACGTGGTATAGTGGGAAAAGTGAGACTGGGCGAGGTGTTACAGTGGGGAAAGTGAGACTGGGCGAGGTGTATGGTGGGGAAAGTGAGACTGTGCGAGGTGTTATAGCGGGGAAAGTGAAACGTGTTGACGTGGTATAGCGGGAAAGTGAGACTTGGCTAGGTGCTATAGTGGGGAATGTGAGTGACAACGAGTTATAGCTGGGGAAAGTGAGACTGGGCGAGGTGTACATCGGGGAAAGTGAGACTGGGCTAGGTGCTATAGTGGGGAATGTGAGTGACAACGAGTTATAGGTGGGGAAAGTGAGACTGGGCGAGGTGTATAGTGGGGAAAGTGAGACTGGGCTAGGTGCTATAGTGGGGAATGTGAGTGACAACAAGTTATAGGTGGGGAAAGTGAGACTGGGCGAGGTGTATAGTGGGGAAAGTGAGACTGGGCGAGGTGTATAGTGGGGAAAGTGAGACTGGGCTAGGTGTTCTAGTGGGGAATGTGAGCGACAACGAGTTAGAGGTGGGGAAAGTGAGACTGGGCGAGGTGTATAGTGGGGAAAGTGAGACTGGGCTAGGTGTTATAGCGGGGAAAGTGAGACGTGTGGACGTGGTATAGCGGGAAAAGTGAGACGTGGCGCCGGGCACATGATTACCCCACCCTATAGAGTTCACCCAGTTTTGGTCGCACACACAATGAACCGGCGACTGATTCAATGACGTAACTATCTGATACTCCCCTTTTACTTCCTTGTTGCCGGTAGAGTTACTCTCCCATTTCGATGTTGATCATTCTTCTTAAGGGCCGCGGAACTTCAGAACTGGGCCCTTGATGAGTGTTATAAAATATCAAAGAGACCTGTACACACATACCCGATGTCCCACACGACGTGAACGGCCGTCTTGTTGACTGACAAGGGGAACCCATTGTAGGTATAGCGTACAGACACGTTATAATAATGATTGTTTTGTTTTGTATTAACCTGGTGTAAGATTGAGAATACTTCATCACTAAAGAAGAGGAAATACACATTGTCGTGTTCACATGACAGCCACCCGTGACTAACTTGTCGTAAGAGGCGGCTAACGGGATCGGGTGGTCAGGCTCGTTGACTTGGTTGATGCATGTCATCGATCCCAATTGTGTGGATCGATGCTGATCATAACAATCACAGGATTGTCTGGTCCAGACTCAACTATTTACAGACCGCCGTCATATACTTGCTGAGTGCGACGTTAAACAAACAAACAAGTGGCTGATACGCCGTGATATTACTGGAATATTGTTCAAAACAGTTGCTCACTCACTCCACCCATGAAAATCTATGAGTCAGCCCCAGGTGTTTATTTAGTAGCAAGAGTTATCTCTCTCTAAACAGCGACATAAATAATTTATTTTATTATTCAATTCCAAACAAGAGTACTGAGGATTTAACTGAATATTTTTAGCATTGGATCCCCGATGACGCGCATTCCGTGTTGTTTGAGCAGGGTTACAACATTCAACGCCTCAGTGAAGTTTCATGGTAGGACATCTCCACGTGCTGACGCATCAGTGACAAAAATGGTTTCAGATGCAATTCCCTATGTTGACTCATATCATTTTCCCTCTATCTCTTCCTGCCAATCAGATAGCTGTCGCTTATTGTGTTCCAGAGTTGCGTAACAGGAACCCGGCTGATTATTTTCAATTTTGTAGTCGTAGCATTAATATCAATCTATCTCACTGATATAAAACATCCATGGTCTATAAAGTAGGATGTGAACACGAGTGTTATTCAAGAAACCTATTTCTAGTCCCAAGAGTAGTTAAACAACAACAACATATTAAGTTTTTGTCCCTACCCACCCACTCATCAACCAACTCACTCACTCACTCACTCACTCACTCACCCACCCACTCACTCACTCACTCACTCACTCACTCACTCACTCACTCACTCACTCACTCACTCACTCACTCACTCACATCCCTACCCACCCACTCATCCACCAATTCACTCACTCACTCACTCACCAACTCACTCACTCACTCACCAACTCACTCACCAATTCACACACTCACTCACTCACTCACCAACTCACTCACTCACTCACTCACCAACATCCCTACCCACCCATCCACCCACTCACTCACTCACTCACTCACCCGGAGTAGAATCGGTCTTCAGCAACCCATGCAAATCAATCTCTCGATTGTCTGGTCCAGACTTGCTTATTCACAGAAAGTCGTCATACAGCTGGATTATTGCTGAGTGCGATGTTAAACAGTTAACGAACAAACAACAACAATATAGAACTGTCGCCGTGTGGGTATACAACTGTGGAATGATAGCACATATCATTAATCATTTGTTACAACCTTTACCCAACATATTTGCTATACATGATTAAATCGATACACAGCCCGGGAACTACGCATTAATCAACCCGTTGCACGCGGTACTTTGTACCAGAATTTCCAGTAACTATGGACCTGGTTGTGACTCTTGTATTTCTATGCACGTTGGTCGACACACAACAACAGGTCCTGCTGATCATGTGTTATGCAAAAGTGAGTGTGACGAGTGAGTGAGTATTGGTTTACGCTTCACACATTGTACCCATGTGGGGAATCGAACCCGGGTCTTCGGCGTGACGAGCGAACGCTTTAACCACTAGGCCACCCAACAGCCCCGAGAGTAATGAATCACAATGTGATCGATATCGACCTAATGGCGTTTTACCATTTGACATTTATCGATAATATTCATCGAACCGTTTCCGTCATTTGCATCCTCGATTGTCCAGGGTATTATATCTCCATTCTGGTATGATATCACCCTGGACCTATTCGCCTTCACAGATAGTTTCAGAAGTGACGTCACAATCTCTTCTACAGCTAGTTTCAAAAGTGACGTCACAATCTCTTCTACAACTCGTTTCAGAAGAGACCATCTCTATCTTAACACATATCACTAATTTCATATCAATGGGAAGCCAAGGAGAAAATATATATTTATATAAGTAAAAAAACAATGATTTGAGTTTTCACGATGCTATGCACAGTTTTGTCAGTTGAGTGTGCTAACCGTGTATTTGTTTCCCTGCAGTGATGCGGGATAAGGTTTAATACATCCTCAGTACATCCATAATACATTCATTCACTCATCCAAATAATGGGGTAGAATAGGTCTTCAGGTCTTGCCGTAAAAGTGGACTATGCTTGTCGTAAAAGGCGACTAAAGGGATCGGGTGGTCAGGCTCGCTCACTTGGTTGATGCATGTCAGCGAATCCCAATTCCGTGGATCGATGCTCATGATATTAATCACTTGGTTTTCTGGTCCAGACTCGATTATTTACAGACCGCCGTCATATAGCTGGAATAGCGACGTTAAACAACAAACCAACCAACTTAACATGAGTGTGAAGGTATTCTGCCAAGCCACGAGGAAATTACCGGCAACTTCTTCCGGGTAGAAACACCAAGGTGCGATTTGTACGGTGGCCCAAACCCGCCACTGGTGAGATCATTTTTCACTGTATGCCTCTATATTTTATCTGGTGGTCGCCAAATACTTCCACTGGTGAGATCAAATACAGAGGTTTATAGGGGAAAATGATCTCACCAGTTGAAGTACCTGGCGGCCGCCGAAAAATATTTGGCGGCCGCCAGATCAAATATAGAGGCATACAGTGAAAAATGATCTCACCAGTGGCGGATATGGGCCACCGCAGATTTGTAATACTGCACTGGGGAACATACATTCCCACGTATCAACACTATGGGCGACACGTGGGCGGTTGTTAGGCAGGTAGTTTGTGTATATCTGGTTGACGTCACCAGCGTGATGTCATTGTGTATGTGGCCATTGCGTAACGGTACATAATGCATATGTTAAATGTTTGGTAACATTTACAGACGGTGACTCTCTCACTGGAACAAGACGGAAACATGGATAGAAAATATGTCATTGCAATTGCTGTGTGTGTGACTGTTGTAGTCGTCATCATCGCCATCGTCGTTGTCGTCGTGGCTCTGTTAATCAGACGTCGGAGGAGGGTTGTTCGTAAGTACTGACTATATGTACTGGTTGTAGAACTTCTGTTGTATACCCACACCATGACAGTTCTAATTGTTGTTGTTTGTTTGTTTACTGTTTAACATCGCACTCAGCAATATTCCAGCTGTATGACGACTTTCTGTGAATAAGCAAGTCTGGACCAGACAATCGAGTGATTGATTTTCATGGGTTGCTGAAGACCGATTCTACTCCGGGTGAGTGAGTGAGTGAGTGAGTGAGTGAGTGAGCGAGTGAGTGAGTGAGTGATGGAGTTGGATTTAACGCCGCTTTTAACATTATTCCAGTGATATCACGGTGTGTCAGCTTAATGTGGGAGGAAAGCCAAAAGTAATGCAGGTCTCTACCACTTCAGTGAAACCCACGAGCACGGGTATGGTGCTGACCAAACCTAGAAACATAATCAGGGCGAACCGGGATTCGAATCCACAATCATGGGTTTCTGGAGCGCCCAAGGGACGCAATTCTACCCCGGATCTTCACGGGTCTCTGACAACAGATGAACTGTTCGTGGGGGATATGTTTACATGCATGTACAATCATTTCGACAAAAGCTTTTTTGCACATCATCCCAGGCTAGGGATGTTGACAATATTCTAATATTTCAATATTAATCACCAAGCAATCCTCCTATTTGTAACTATTCTAAAGTTGACGGTATTTCTCCAAGCCAGTATGAAGGAATTCTTCAGATTACATGACTGATCATGACTCATGAGAATATGTGTATTGTGATTACAGTAGTTATGGTAAGAAACTTACATAATCCTGTTGTACGTTTGGTTTCCATACATGACATGAGAATGATGATTCTATTTACATATATTACTCATAAACTTACGTAATCCTGTTGTACATTTGGTTTCCATACATGAAATGAGAATGATGATTCTATTTACATATATTACTCATAAACTTACATAATCCTGTTGTACATTTGGTTTCCATACATGAAATGAGAATGATGATTCTATTTACATATATTACTCATAAACTTACATAATCCTGTTGCACATTTGGTTTCCATACATGAAATGAGAATGATGATTCTATTTACATATATTACTCATAAACTTACATAATCCTGTTGTACGTTTGGTTTCCATACATGTAATGAGAATGATGATTCTATTTACATATATTACTCATAAACTTACATAATCCTGTTGTACGTTTGGTTTCCATCCATGAAATCAGAATGATGATTCTATTTACATATATTACTCATAAACTTACATAATCCTGTTGTACATTTGGTTTCCATACATGAAATGAGAATGATGATTCTATTTACATATATTACTCATAAACTTACGTAATCCTGTTGTACATTTGGTTTCCATACATGAAATGAGAATGATGATTCTATTTACATATATTACTCATAAACTTACATAATCCTGTTGCACATTTGGTTTCCATACATGAAATGAGAATGATGATTCTATTTACATATATTACTCATAAACTTACATAATCCTGTTGCACATTTGGTTTCCATACATGAAATGAGAATGATGATTCTATTTACATATATTACTCATAAACTTACATAATCCTGTTGCACATTTGGTTTCCATACATGAAATGAGAATGATGATTCTATTTACATATATTACTCATAAACTTACATAATCCTGTTGTACATTTGGTTTCCATCCATGAAATAAGAATGATGATTCTATTTACATATATTACTCATAAACTTACATAATCCTGTTGTACATTTGGTTTCCATCCATGAAATCAGAATGATGATTCTATTTACATATATTACTCATAAACTTACATAATCCTGTTGTACGTTTGGTTTCCATCCATGAAATCAGAATGATGATTCTATTTACATATATTACTCATAAACTTACATAATGCTGTTGTACGTTTGGTTTCCATACATGAAATGAGAATGATGATTCTATTTACATATATTACTCATAAACTTACATAATCCTGTTGTACATTTGGTTTCCATACATGAAATCAGAATGATGATTCTATTTACATATATTACTCATAAACTTACACAATCCTGTTGTACGTTTGGTTTCCATACATGAAATGAGAATGATGATTCTATTTACATATATTACTCATAAACTTACATAATCCTGTTGTACATTTGGTTTCCATACATGAAATCAGAATGATGATTCTATTTACATATATTACTCATAAACTTACATAATCCTGTTGTACGTTTGGTTTCCATACATGAAATGAGAATGATGATTCTATTTACATATATTACTCATAAACTTACATAATCCTGTTGTACGTTTGGTTTCCATACATGAAATAAGAATGATGATTCTATTTACATATATTACTCATAAACTTACATAATCCTGTTGTACATTTGGTTTCCATACATGAAATGAGATTGATAATTCTATTTACATATATTACTCATAAACTTACATAATGCTGTTGTACATTTGGTTTCCATACATGAAATGAGAATGATAATTCTATTTACATATATTACTCATAATGGCGTCTGTGTGGTTGATTATCTACTAGCGTCTTCATAATTATATCCATACATTACAATATGTGAGGTCGGTATAGCTGGCAATTCATGTCACTTCACAAACTGCACATTTAACAAAGACACTGAGCTCGTTACAAATAATGTCTCCTGAGTGAAACTTCCGTCAATATATGTTCTCTCATGCACCTACACATACAATGTAAGCCAGAGTAACGCTGTCGCTGCAATATATCACCTGACCAACATACACCAGGAAGCAGTTGAACGCACAGATAAGGGTTAATGTGGTATTTGTGCTAAACATTCAACCACCCTGCTGGGAGCGAGATTTAGGACAGATAAACACGGAACAATATTCTACACTCAGAGATCGTGTTTTGAACTCTCTCTCTCTCTTTCCCTATCTCTCTCCCTATCTCTCTCTCCCTCTCTCTCTACCTCTCTCTGTGTGTCTCTCTCTCTCCCTCTCTCTCTCCCTCTCTCTCTCTCTCTCCCTCTCTCTCTCTTTGTTTTATGCTGACATTATCCAACACTTAGGCCACAAAGAGATTTTGTGTTTTGAACTTTGTTTGTTTTCTCTCTCGCTCTCTCTATGTGTCTCTCTCTCCCTCTCCCTCCCTCTCTCTCTCTCTCTCCCTCCCTCTCTCTCTCTCCCTCCCTCCCTCTCTCTCTCTCCCTCTCTCTCTCCCCGCTCTCTCTCTCTCCCTCCCTCTCTCTCTCTCTCTCCCTCCCTCTCTCTCTCTCCCTCCCTCCCTCTCTCTCTCTCCCTCTCTCTCTCCCTCTCTCTCTCTCTCCCTCCCTCTCTCTCTCTCTCCCTCCCTCTCTCTCTCTCCCTCCCTCCCTCTCTCTCTCCCTCTCTCTCTCCCCGCTCTCTCTCCCTCTCTCCTCTCTCTCCCCCTCTCTCTCCCCCTCTCTCTCCCCCTCTCTCTCCCTCTCTCTCTCCCCTCTCTCTCTATCTCTCTCTCTCTATCTATCTCTCTCTCTGTGTGTCTCTCTCTCTCTGTGTTTGTCTCTCTCTCTCTCTTTGTTTTATGCTGACATTAGGAATAATATATCTGTAAGCCTTACACTTTTCACACGCAAATAAATCTCTTACAAAACAATAAGATGGATGTTATGTTTAACGCTGCCTTATATTTACATCAAGTAATTTTCTTTGATAGGCATTTAGAAGTTGAAGTAGTAAGTAAGGATAATATTTATGCATGAACAACTTCTTTATTACAATCAAGAGCGACGCTTCCGTGTAGGTTCTAACATCAAACAAGTGATAACGGTGTTAGAACCTACATTAAAACGTCGCTCTTAATTGTAATAAAGAAGTTCTTCATCCATAAATCTTATCCTTACTTATTAAGTAAACTGTTGAAACTAGGAACTGCAACCCATTTGCACTGATACATTTTCTACCAGGGCATTATACTGAATAAAACGTATGTGTGTCTATCAGAACGACATTATGTAAGTACGACTATCGCCGATATATTGCGTGGACGACGCGAATCTATGACTAAAAGTCAAATTGTTAAATCTTCAGCGTCAGACAAAATGGTAATCAATTTCCTCTTCACTTATTCCTTATGGCCAAACAGACTAGAACAGGCCAGCACTTTTCTTCAGCTATGACGTCACTGCATTTACACTTAGTCACGTGACGTCATGGCACTGTATGACGTCATCATGGAATGTCGCTGCACACGCTATTATCAACTTCTTGAAAAAACATATAAAACAGAATGATAATTTCTCATAGATAAACTGTTTATCCATATGTGGTTGGTATGTTCTAAAACGTTAACCACTCCTTTTATGTAAAAATGTAAACACGTGAGTGATTTCCCTATAAACCTATTTGTAGTGTGAATGGTGGTTCTGAAGTTCGTCTAGCGCAAAAGAATGTACGTTAGGCTCTCTCCCTTTCATTTAGAAAGTTCGCTATCTTAGAAAACGTTCACGGACAAGCCGACATCCTTAAAAGAATCCTGCTTTCAATATTTATCAGACAATGATATGATTAACAAACCACTGTCAGAACATTTTATGTATTTCAAATCACCAATTCTTACTCCAGGTAGACGACAGCGACAACCACGACCACAAAGCTCAGTTTCTGCTGAGGACACGCTGCAAGTTAGTAAGTATGACCCAATTATTCTTCAGGATCCGAAGTAAATGGAATTTCTGAAATCTTCACGTCTTCCCAAGGCAAGGGATTTAACTGACTATATAGTCCAGTTTCCGCACTCGCCGAAATAGGCTGGAATTCCGAAGTTACATTTTGGCTGGACCAACGAGTCTATGGATAGTCCAATCAAAATCGCGAAACGAACTAGACATCCGGTTTGTTAACAAGTGGATTTCAACGTGCAGAGTACGGTCATGCAAAGCGTGGGTATCGAAGTAAAAAAACATGATTTTTACAAATGTTTCCACTGAGAATTAAAATAACAGTTATATGAAACAAATTGTTTGCCAAATTCAGATAACCGAACACATTACATGTAATCAATGACATAATTTGGATAGTTTAATGACTTAATAAAAATGTTACAGCCAATATTGTCAAATTATGCATTTTTTCCTTCAATTTATGCAATTTCGACCCCCTGAAAATTCCCGCACACAATTGCAAACTTACTACCCAATGAAAATTGTGTACAGATACCTCCTTTATGCAATAGAAAAAGGTTTAAGGTATACAGGAAAATGTGGGAACGAAAATCTTGTTTTTCAACCCTGGCCAAATGACTATGACTCAGTGCCGCCATTTTTTGAGTTAGTGAGTGACTGAGTGTATGAGTGGAAAGCCGGAAGTGATATCAGACGTTCACCGCTTTGGTGAAACCCATCAGTATTGACATGATGCTGAGAAACCCAGAAACAGCATCAGGGCGAATCGGGATTCGAACACTAGATTAATGGTTTCTGGCACACCAAAGGGATGCCCATCTGTACGACAAAATATGGCGCCTTGCGCCGTTGTATCACGAGAAGTGATGATGGTTGAACTTTGACACAACGAGACAGTATACATAAATAACATTTTAATGTGATGCTATTGATCTATAATTTTTTTCATCTGCCGACACAAATTATTTGGTGAAAAATATATCCTGTCAGATCTACCTTCCTTGTCTCCAAGTTACGAGGTTTTGTTTCAGACAATAACCAGGTAGATTGAATCAAACACCCTGATTAATTGTGAGAAAATACACATGTAGCTTTGTAAAACCACAGCGTACACATCTTGCGAATGCTCTGTTTCTCCAGGGGCTGCATATAATTACCGAATCAGCCGCGATGACATCGTGGAAAGATCAGGTAAGTCGTTATATCACACGGTAAGATTTCATCTGATCCTTTCACCCAGTTTAGATCTGGCCGGAAACTAATCTCAGAGTTTAGTCTTTTCACTCAGTTCAGATCTCGCCAGAAGCTAATCTCAGAGTTAAGCCTGTTCACTCAGTTCGGATCTCGTCTAAAGTTATCCAATAAACTGAGACCTCCAAGTTGTTCACAAAGTTAAAATTGCGGCTGAAGCTGTACAAACAGCTGCGCTCCCCACACGGAGTTTACATTCAAACGATGGAGATTACACAGCGAATACGCAACATCTTGGATTAGAACGTGTCCAGATTGTGCATGGTCCAGTCTCCACACAAAAGGTCACTTCCATTGCCGCTAAGATGTGTTTCTTGAAACAACGGTTAAACAATATTTCGGGCATTCAGTGTGAAATCTGAGCTAACAATACTAAGACATTACTGATATCTTGCAGGAAAAGACGACTTGGAGCTGAAAGGCATTCAAGGTGAAAAAGATAAAGGTAAACATGATGTCTGGTTCTCAATGTTCATCAATGTTGTAGGGCTCTCAATGATAGTTCCTCACTGTTGTAGGGCTCTCAATGGTAGTTCATCAATGTTGTAGGGCTCTCAATGGTAGTTCACCAATGCTGTAGGGCTCTCCATGATAGTTCATCAATGTTGTAGGGCTCTTAATGGTAGTTCACCAATGTTGTAGGGCTCTCAATGGTAGTTCACCAATGCTGTAGGGCTCTCCATGATATTTCCTCACTGTTGTAGGGCTCTCAATGGTAGTTCACCAATGTTGTAGGGCTCTCCATGATAGTTCCTCACTGTTGTAGGGCTCTCAATGGTAGTTCACCAATGATGTAGGGCTCTCCATGATAGTTCCTCACTGTTGTAGGGCTCTCAATTGTAGTTCACCAATGTTGTAGGGCTCTCAATGATAGTTCCTCACTGTCGTAGGGCTCTCAATGGTAGTTCATCAATGTTGTAGGGCTCTTAATGGTAGTTCGCCAATGCTGTAGGGCTCTCCATGATAGTTCATCAATATTGTAGGGCTCTTAATGGTAGTTCACCAATGTTGTAGGGCTCTCAATGGTAGTTCACAAATGCTGTAGGGCTCTCCATGATAGTTCCTCACTGTTGTAGGGCTCTCAATTGTAGTTCATCAATGTTGTAGGGCTCTCAATTGTAGTTCACCAATGCTGTAGGGCTCTCCATGATAGTTCCTCACTGGTGTAGGGCTCAAATGGTAGTTCACCAATGTTGTAGGGCTCTCCATGATAGTTCATCACTGTTGTAGGGCTCTCAATGGTAGTTCACCAATGCTGTAGGACTCTCCATGATAGATCACCACTGTTGTAGGGCTCTAAATGGTAGTTCATCAATGTTGTAGGGCTCTCAATGGTAGTTCATCAATGTTGTAGGCCTCACAATGGTAGATCCTAACTGTCGTAGGGCTCTCAGTGATAGTTCATCAATGTTGTAGGGCTCTGAGGGATAGATCATCAATGTTGTATGCATCTCAATGATAGTTCCCAACTGTTGTAGGGCTCTCAATGGTAGTTCATCAATGTTGTAGGGCGCTCAATGATAGTTCACCACTGTTGTAGGGCTCTCAATGATAGTTCACCACTGTTGTAGGGCTCTCACTGGTAGTTCACCACTGTTGTAGGGCTCTCAGTGGTAGTTCACCAATGTTGTAGGGCGCTCAATGATAGTTCATCAATGTTGTAGGGCTCTCAATGATAGTTCCCCAATGTTGTAGGGCGCTCAATGGTAGTTCACCAATGTTGTAGGGCTCTCAATGATAATTCCTCACTATGTTGGGTCCATTAACTGAACCTGCTACATTAAAATGACTGATCACTTCTCTCTGTTGTCAGCTATGTGCCCCCCGACGGCGCCAGCTGGTGGAGTCGCTCCCCCGCGTCTCGATCCCATATAACGCCGGGCCAAGCTCACCACAAGCATCTACTGCACAGCACCTGCACATTCAACTGTATCATGAACTGCATAGACGTCAGACATTGTCCCCAGTATAGCAAGAACTGCACCAATGACACGTGTGTGTTGACACGTGACAACTGCTTGGACGTGACAGTTCACATTGTATGTGTGCATATTACAACAGATCATGTTTTGAATAGGTGCGCGTGATGATGGATAAGTGTCGTGAAGTGACAACAGTGTCAGGCGTCAGCGAACTCGTCATGACCTTTGACAAATGAACCCGGATGTGACAGCATGAAGGCACCCGAAGCTCAGAGACCTTGAACGTGATATGATTTGACGACGACTGGTCCAGAGCACTGGCTTGGGAAATCCACACGTTGTTTGTGAATAGCGACAACAAAGTCAGAAGTCATTAACTCTCTCCAGGAACTTCTCCAATGGAGTTGGTTACCTGATGTGCAGCCACCAGGACCTCCAAGACAGCAGAGTTGGAATTTATATGATTTGACGACAACTTTACAGATCGGTTATTCGTCGAGGTTTCTAAGGTACATATATGCACACATATGCGGCGGCCATACAGTTTAAATCGATGTGCTATGTTTATGTTGAGTTGAAAATGATAATTGAAAGTACAAGGAAAGGCGATCACACAACAGAGGATGTTACTGATGTATTGAACCTGTGTGGAGTTACAACAAAGAGTATTGCCGATGTACTACTGTGTATGTTCAGCTACCACAAAGGATGTTATTGATGTGCTGTATATGTGTCGGGTTGCAACTAAGTTTGTTATCGATGTACAGTTTGCGTGTCGAGCGACCACAAAGAATGTTATCGATGTACCGTGTGTGTGCAAAGTTGCAACAAAGAATGTGATCGAAGTACTGCACGTGTGTCCAGTTTCGAGAAAGTATATTGTCGATGTACTGTGTGTGTGTCAAGTTTCGAGAAAGGATGTTATCGAAGTACTGTTCCTGTTTCAAGTTTTGAGAAAGGATGTTATCGAAGTTCTGTACGTGTGTTGAGTTTCTACAAACTATGTTATCAAAGTACTGTATGTGTGTTAAGTTTTCAGAAAGGATGTTATCGAAGTGCTGTACATGTGTCAAGTTTCGAGAAAGGATGTTGTCGATGTACTGTATGAGTGCCGAGTAAAAACAAAGGATGTTTTCGAAGTACTATGTGTGTTGAGTTACAACAAAGGATGTTTTCAAAGTACTGTACGTGTGTCGAGTTTAGCAAAAGGATGTTGTCGATGTACTGTATGTGAGTCGAGTTTCCAGAAGGATGTTATCGATGTACTGTTTGTGTGTCCAGTTACAAGAAAGGTTATTATCGATGTATAATGTGTGTATGTGTGAGTGTGTTTGTGCGTGTATGAGTGTGTGTGTGTGTGTTTGTGTATATATGATATGATATTATAAAAAATATATATATAAATATGTACTTGTTTGTTTGTTTGTTGTTCAGCGCCGCCTACAGCAAAAGACACTATGCAGAGAACTTCTAGTAACCAAAGACGCGAAGTCGCCTGTTCAGTTCTGGTGCTTGTTTATATATTATGTATCTGAAAGTTCATTATGAGGTCCAATAGTTCAATTGTTCATATTTGCTTTATGGCAGTTTGTGTTGGCGACAACTGTTTTGTTGTTTTTTTCTAAAAGGAAGGGTCGGGTTAACTATTGGTTGTCGTGTGGACTATGAGTAGTGTGGACTGTCTGAAACGTATGGCAGACAGATACTGCAACATTCCTGTTCACATGCACACATTGTCCCGCGTAGATGCCGGGATACACTTGGTCTCCAGCACCCTATGCGGATCGTAAGAGGCGACTTGACAGATCGGAAGTCTGGGTTAATGGCGTGTCATACTCCGACGTTGTTGACCGCACCTCGTAATATCAATCACTTGATTATTTGGTCCAGACACGATTATTTACAGATAGCCGTCTGATATGTGACTATATCTGACTGATTGAATGATTTCACTCGAAAGTATCCGTGCTCTGAGATGTTTAGGGATATGTATACATAGTTTCATTACAATTGTTTTCAGGACTGCATCCATTGTGTATATATACTCTGCAAAAAACCCCGCAAAAGTTTTATATTTATGCATCATATATACATTAATATATTGTAATCGATTGTTTAAAATTGGCACATATCATTGTCATTGACCTATGTTCCATATAGAAGAAATGGAACAGCAGATGTTCAAGGTAATCTGTTCTACATATCGTGCATGGCGACCATGAGTCCAAACTGACTGGCATCGTCGTCCCATGGAAGAAATCAGTTACCGAATTATGCTCTGGGGAACTGTTCACCCATTCTACCTGCAGTGCTTGTGCCAACTGTCGGATGGTCTGTGGGTGTTGCTGACGTGCTCGCAGTCGTTGATCCAGTGCATCTCATAAATGTTCGACTGGGTTTAAATCTGGAGACCTGGAGGACCATGGCAGGATCTGGATGTTGGTATTCCTATGGAAGGCTGTTGTCAGTCTTGTTGACTGCTGTGAGGTCAGGCGTTATCTTGCTTGAAAATGACGTGTGGCCGAAGAATCTCATCCGTGTAACGCTGTGCCGTTAAGTTCCCAGGAACTTGCACCAAGTCTGTTCTACCAGTGCAGGAGATGGCTGCCCACATCGGCACACTTCCACCACCAAATCTGTCCACTTCCTGTATGCAGTTTCGTGTATAACGTTCCCCGTGTAAACACGACGCCTACCATCCACACGGCAAAGCATAAAACGTGATTCGTCACTAAACCAAATTTGTCTCCATCGCACCTTGATGTCGCAGTCGACGATGGAGCTCCGTCAAAATGACACCCGAACTGGTCATCTAGCGCGAATACCTTCAGCGCGTAAACAGTTGCTCAGTCTGGGCTGATATCTTACGCATCCCAACGATTTTATTACCAAACGAGTTACGTTGAACGTGCATGTCATATTGGTGTGTTTCGGCACCAGGCTCTCACGTGGTTGCGTTTTTCCATCTTGTCACCAAATGTCTGCAGTACCTCATTCCGCACTAATTTCCACACAAATCAATCTCAATCCATGCAGAAATGTACACATTCATGTTTGATATAATTTTGTATGGATGTCGGCAGCACTGTGACAGAATTTTACGATTTCTTTTTACATTTGCGTTTCTTTTTTTGCAGAGTATATGAACTGTATTTTATTCCTCATTGGAGAAACAAATGCAAACAGCACACGTTGTATTCATATGTGCGATGCACAGCTTTTACTGAATATTTGTGATATGATCCTCATAAAACTGTATCTGTGCGTTTGTCCTAACTTGAAAAAAAGAATCGATTTTGTCACACGGTTTCTAGTAGGTCCCCAGCACTCTATTGTTTTTTTTGAGTGAGTCGACTAAATGTGGGTCGGATGGACTGGACTGGACTGGTCGATTGCGTGTGTTGATACCCGACGGCGTTGGACGTTGCTCATGATATCAATCACTGGTTTGTCTTGACTTGATGTAATAACAGTCCATCGTGATACAGAAGGAAATTTGCTGATTATGTATACACAAAAAACACTCATTTTTGAAATTGTATAAGCTGAATTTGTACAGACCTATGTGGGATACACCAATTATATACTACAAAACCACCTTGGCACATCCCTTTTTGTAACTCAACAACAACCTTTGGTGTATTGTAGCCTTTCCTCTTGTATCCCATTATCATCTACATTAACGGTTTATTCTATATGGGCACTACGCATGTATACATCAATTACGTCAACCTAAAAGGAAGACCTGCATATAGTCAAACACACGATATACATTGTTGGAGTCAAATCTTAAGGCACTGTAGCGTGTCGATTCCCAATTTCTGACGTCTGTGCACTTCCTGATGTAGTTGATGATGCAGGTGCTGTTCAGTAGATGCTGGTTGTGAGATTGATTGTCCTGGCGTTATATGGGATCGAGACGCGGGGGAGCGGCTCCACCAACTGGAGGTGTCGGGGGACACATAGCTGACAACAGAGAAGGACAATCAGTCATTTAAATGTAGCAGGTTTAATTAATGGACCCAACATCATAATACGGGATAGGAAGGCACAGCTTCAAAACATATAAACCGAACGGACTTACTTTAAACAGTAAATAAATCTCTTCAGGACAGCTAGCAGGTTCAGCCCACAATTTATGGCGGCAAACCCGAGGCAAATACATAATGCTGGGCAAAAGAAAGTACAGTAAAATACGTTTGTAAAAGAACACGCCTATAACGAACTGACGGATATAGTGAATATATTTTTGTCCCGGATATTTGCTGTTTATACTGCTGGATATATGCTGGCCTTAAACTACGGTTATAAGAACTCAAATTCGTGGTCCCTCTGAGTTAGTCATAATCGTAGTTTACAAAATACAATTGGAAATTTGATTTGACCAAACAAAATAACGTCATCAAAATTTTACTGCCATGGAAACAGTCGTCAAAACACTGCAAAAGTTGTTTTGGTAGATGCATGTGCAGCAGTGAAAATAGCTACACACTTTTTAACGGGTACCCATATAAATACATCAGTAGTTCTGGTATCCCTGGTGTCCGGAAGTTGTTCTACGCATCCGTGCGGTGGTGGCGGAGGTGGTGGCGGAGGAGGAGGAGGTTGGTTTTTTTGGTTTTGGTTGGTAGGTAAAGCAATGATGAAAGCGTTCTTTCGGGAGAGTGGGGTGGCCCTGAAAAGGGCCTTTGGAAACCAACTGGAAACACACTGGACAAGGCTTTACCTACCAACCACAACCAAAAAAAACCCCTCCTCCTCCCCCTCCTCCCTCCTCCGCCACCATCGCAACAACCACCGCCGCCGCCACTGCCGCCTCCGTCACCACCACCACCACCGCCGCCGCTGCCACCACGACCTCCACCACCACCGCCGTCGCCACTTTTTTTCGCTTTTTTAAAATGAAACAGGGTTAAGGTGCTTACTTGTCTGCATTAAGAGGGTTTAACATTTTTATGTAGTTTGCCAACATTCTATATTATTTAACCAAATCCGCGTTAGATTTTATACCACGAGCCGGGGGCAATGTCAATATTATGTCATAAAACCTGACGCAGGACGATAAAAACACATAGGACCCCTCTTGATCCTGCGGCAACGAATGTATCTTACCGACATGTTTTACATGATATTCTAACCGAATTAAAACAAATTCATAATTGATAGAAAACAGCTGATATTAACTTGTGCCGTATTGACATTGACGCGAAAAAAGCATGCGGCTTTTTGCTTCTAAGCAGGGTATGAGGGATTTCTCCAGCTGAGAAATTAATTTCCCTCCAAGGCGGGATACACATTTTAACAAGATCACGTGGACCAATCAGATATCATCATTCTGACATGGAGGTATGATAAATTATGTTACCTGTGATTGCCTCCCCTGTCGGGCTGTTGGTCACGTCTTTCAGCTCCAAGTCGTCTTTTCCTGTAACAGAAAGGTGGTGTGTTATTATACGGTGTTCATCGTAATGACTAATGGCCTGTAAAGAGTGTCGTAGCCCTTTTGTTAATAATTATGCTCCACTATGCAAGCTATCAAGAAACCTACGGCCGCAATGAAGGTTGCCGTTTTATCGTCAAAGCTTTAACGCCGGGAGTATTCTGAAAATGAATTATAGGTTAAGAAAAGTATAGTGATTTAAGAGAGGAACCTGGAGTTTTTCCAAATAAAGTTAAATAAAACTGTGATAAAATAACTGGTACTAAAACATAGGCGAGATCCAAACTATGTGAAGTGCTTCATATGACATCTAAACTGTGATATTACCACATACCTGATCTTTCCACGATGTCATCGCGGCTGATTCGATAATTCTTTGCTGCCCCTGGACAAAAACAGAGCATTCGCACAATGTACAGCTTATTACAATCAGCAGAGCTTCACACAATATCAATCAATATTATCACGTTGTTTTCTTACTATTTCTCAAGGGCGGTCGGGTAGCCTAATGGTTGAAGCTTTCGCTCGTCACGCCGAAGACCCGGGTCCGATTTCCAACATGGGTACAATGTGTGAAGCCCATTTCTGGTGTCCCCCGCCGTGATATTGCTGGAATATTGCTAATAGCGGCGTAAAATCAAACTCACTCGCTCGCTCACTCACTCACTCACTCACTCACTCACTCACTCACTCACTCACTCACTCACTCACTCACTCACTCACTCTTACTGATTTTTGTCTGAACGCAGTCACGTGAAGGAACTGAAGGTAGTTCTGGCATGACGGGCAAAGCTTCACTCAATGAGTCTTTCCATTATGTTTGCAAATGAAAATATTTGTTAACCACAAAAAAAACAAAAGACATATTAATTCATACTTACTAACTTGAAGGGTACCCTCAACAGAAACTGAGCTCTGTGGTCGTGGTCGTTGTCTACCTGGAGAAAGAATTGGCTTGTTATATGACGTTGGTCAGTTGTTAATTCTATCATTGTCTGATACATATATAAAGTAGGAATCTTTCTTTAATGATGTCCTCTGGTCTGTATTCGGAATATGCTTTTCTTGAGACAGGTAATTATAAAATATAGATGATTAGATGTAACTTTCGAATTAAAAACTGAAGGGGTTAGTGTGCTTTCTGTTGCCCTAGACGAACTTTACAACCACCGTTCACACTTAACTATGGAGGCATAGAGGGAGATCACATGTGTTTTCCATAAATGTAGAATTTAGTGAGTGAGTTAGATTTTACGCCGCTTTTAGCACTATTCCAGCAATATCACGGCGGAGGACACCAGAAATAGGCTTTACGCATTGTACCCATGTGGGGAATCGAACTCGGGTCTTCGTCGTGACGAGCGAACGCTTTAACCACTTGGCCACTTGGCCACCCGACCGCCACTAAAGCAAAAGGAAGAGCTGTTAAGTGTGTCAGCAAGCGTGGTTTTACGCTGCTTTTCGCAATATTCCAGCAATATCGCGGCGGGGGACACTACACATGAGCTTCACACATTGTACCCATGTGGGAAACGAACCCGGATTATCTTTGTGACGAGCGACGCTTTGACCACAGCCCAGGAATTTATATACTCTCATTGATAGTGAAAGTATAGGGAATATTTATAACTCCTGCCATTAAAGGTCAGTGTTGAAAAACATCATAGATCGGGGTTGTCTGGCTCCCTGCAACTTCTCAGTGGCACAGAGACAATTAACAATTACTTTGGCAGCTACTGATAGTAGTGACGAGTAACCGCGACGTAGGCCAAGCTCAGACACCTCAAGTTCGGAGTTGAGAGGTAGTTACTTTAAATAACTATTATTTAAAAGGGGTAACCAATAAGACATACAAATGTGAAACAAATAACAGAATATGTTTTTAATAAAGTGTGTTGAGAAAACAATTATTTCAGCGTTTTTTCTGCACTGTAACTATAACCTGTGAAACAAACAACTGAATAATTACTTCTTTGATAGGCATTTAGACGTTGGAGTTCTAAGTCAGGATAAGAATTTTTGGATTAACAACTTCTTTTTTACAATAAAGAGCGACGTTTTGGTGTAGGTTCTAACACCGTTATCAAGCAAGTGCTAACGGTGTGAGAACCTACACCGAAACGTCGCTCTTAAGTGTAATAAAGAAGTTGTTCATCCATAAATTCTTATCCTTACTTAATTGAATAATTATACAATTTTGATTTCTACGAAACCTCTTAGTTGGGTCCATGCACATGATGCAATGGAGGTATGCAACAGGTTGCGATTAAATTATAACATCTTTGCAGGGTTATGTGATAACTTCTTCTTTTTTAAACAAAATGTATGTGTTTACAAGCGTTATTTTGAAGTAGTTAAGAATATGTGTATTTTGATTTGGACCTCTGTAATAATTGCTACTGTAGGATAGCGGAACCATGTACCTATGTGTAATGACAGTGTCAAAAAACGTTATAGAGCATTCTAAGTCATTGTATAATGGCGATTAACTTCCTGTGGGTAAAATTTGAGGTCGTCTCGCTGTAGAATCGATACCTTCGTATTTTAAATTGAAACCTCGTGCTAAAGTGTTCGGTGCCAAATTATAAATATTGATTCTAGGGTGACTACAAAGTCAAAGCACAGTAGGTTATCTTTTAGGGTTTAGTTTTGTGAGGTTGTGTGCTTTGGGTATACAATATAAGTCCTACAACCAGTACATATAGTCAGTACTTACGAACAACCCTCCTCCGACGTCTGATTAACAGAGCCACGACGACAACGACGATGACGATGATGACGACTATCACAGTCGCACATACAGCAATTGCTATGACATATTTTCTATCCATGGTTCCGTTGGTCCACTGCAGGAATCAACTTCTGCTAATAATACAATTAGTCTGCATGTTATTAAACAGTTAAGCATTTACGCAAATTCGACCTCCACACTGTACGCTCTCACTGACAAGCCCTTCTATTACGCAATGACACTTACCCCACAGAAGAACGTTCCCGCGTATTGAATGTTGCGTGGGAATGCACCGGTGTATGGTGTGCAAGGGGTTATTAAAAATTGCACCTTGGAGCACCTACCCGGGAGTAGCTGCAGCTAGTTCCTGTGTGGGTAGGGACCCTACTTTACATTGTGAATGAATGCATGTGTTGAGGCTGTATTGAGGCTGTATTGAGGCTGCATTGAGGATCTATTGAGCTTCATCCAGCAGAATTGGAAGGGCACAAAGACACGGTTGGCACATTAAACTAAACAACTTTACAACGCATCCTTAAAATAGAAATCATTGCTCACTCATTACATAAAAGGTTTACACACACTCCTTCTTGGCTTTCCATTGATAAAAATACTCTGTCACTGCAAACACCTCACAAACTGTTCTGTACAGGTGCAGATGGCTGCAGTGGTGATTTCAGAGGGGGTTGTAAAGTGAACGGTTCCTGCCTAACGGAACATTTCTTCGGCTTCGTATGCTGCACGTTTTGTGAAGGTACGAGGCTAAATATAACCGTCTACTGAGGCCTCGGACGTTAACCTTGATCAAACAAAATCGAACGCGCGTCATTGGGGACCAAATGTTAAAATGATACAGTAAAATACTAGGGTGCGCTCCTTTTGCAAAAAATAAAATTTACTTCGCTCTTTATGCAGAGATAATGCTTGAGATTGAACAAAACCTGGGGACATGCCTTCTGAACCAGACAGACAGACAGTTTATTCAGTATTCAGGCAACAAGGCCCATAGTACAATGCAGATTGGATATTGACATCAACAGCTCTTTGTGAGAGGAAGGCATTGCGACCTTCAATGTTGACATTTCAGAATTGCATCATCCAACATTATGACGACATGTGCCACTTTCGCGATCATAACAGAATGCATGGCTTATTAAATAGGGTTTTTGGTGGAGTGTTTCCTTCATGTTTTGACTACTTGTCATCGTGCATGGATGGTGTGGATCAGTCCTCTTGTTTTTTTTCACTGTTTTTCAATTTTTCACTGTTGTTTCTGTTCAGGTCAGATATGGTTAGAGTTTCACTGACTACGGCGGTAAAAAACATTCACTCACTTAATCACCTTTATATTAGGACTCATCTAGCGACACATTTTATTTTTCACCAGATTTAGTTAAATTAGCGGATTAGAGTGTTCTTTCGGAAAGGAGATAAATTGGACAGTCCTGAATCTTGAACTGAGTCTTGGTTTCTCTTGATAAGTTCATTACTTAAACAGTTGAACAGTTTAGATACAAAACACAAGTCCTATATCCCCAACTGACCAATATCACAGACGTCAGAAATCTTTGTTCAGCACATTAAACATGCAAAATAATCATGATGACCACGTGTTTGTAAATTACACCCACATATAAGATGTTCCCTCTTATCAAGACACTTACGGCATGTGAAGCATGACATATGTGCACGTAATTATTTTGGAATTTTACCAACACTCATCAAGGGCCCGGTTCTGTAGTTCCGCGGCCCTTAAGAAGGATGATAAACAGGACTATGCAATACGAGCTCAACCCGCAACAAGGAAGTAAAATGGTGACATTACATCGTCTCACAGCGGGATTGATCAATAGAGGCGTGCGGGTTATTTGGAAATCTCTACACGCTGGTTGTAGTCATGTGTACACAATCGGTGTATTTTACGCTAGGCCACCCAATGTATGCATATCAATGTCTTCACTCCACAAAGATGAAACTGGGTAGGTCACGTCGATTTAAGTGACGGCGTGTTCTGTTTTGCATTAGGGAGTCATCCTGTGCCGCCTCATAAACGCACCTTTCCTACTATAGCATGTCGCCCATCCCACCTTCCCAACTACAGCTTGTCGCTCGTCCCGCCTTTAACACATAACAAGTCACATCTTTGAATGTGTCGTCTATACCATATCACTACATCCTGAACATAAACTCGTTATCCTGTCCTATTCAACCTGCGGCACATCACACACTTACCTGCCGTGTGTTTTCCTCTATATCCTGTCAACGACAACAGAATATTCCTTTAAACAACATCAGACCATTTCCATAGACAATAGCGGAATATCCATAAAGAAGCCACAAGTGTTTCACTGCTCACTGTTGGCAACAAAACTGTATACTTTTCGACAGCACAAGCAGCAACCACTTTGGCAACAACACTTTATCCCTTCTGACAACAGCAGGGTATCCCTTATCAGTGTGTTAGACACAAACAGTCTCTTCACTATCTCTCAGTTACGTTCGGTTCTGCATCAGAGACGACGTGGCCTTCTCGCACACAATAGGTAGTATATGTAATGCAAGTATTTGTGAGATACACTAAAATCACGACACCTTTGTAGCATGTCGCCTGTTAACTTTCCTCTCTATAGGACGTGGACCGTCTAACTTTCCCCTCTATAAGACGTGGACCGTCTGACTTTCCCCTCTATAGGACGTGTACCGTCTGACTTTCCCCTCTTTAGGACGTGGACCGTCTGACTTTCCTCTCTATAGGACGTGGACCGTCTGACTTTCCCTTCTATAGGACGTGGGGCATCTGACTTTCCTCTCTATAGGACGTGGACCGTCTGACTTTCCTCTCCATAGGACGTGGACCGTCTGACTTTCTCCTCTATAGGAAGTGGATCGTCTGACATTCCCCTCTATAGGACGTGGACCGCCTGACTTCCCCCTCAATAGGATGTGGACCGTCGGACTTTTTCCTCTATCAGAAGTAATGTGACAAGTTATGCGCCATCACTGACCCTGTGAATGGAAGCGTGAGCAGTCTCCTTAATAACGTTAGTGATTAATAGAGCGAAACACCATTAACAGACATTCACTAGCCCGAAATCTCTGTGGGAAAATATACCTACAATAATGCACACTTCTAGCATACTGCGTCCCGGTTGAACAGTCTCAGCCTACCTCAGTATCCAGTAGCTTGCTGACATTTCCTCTGATCGCCGTGCCGTAATGGGGAGGTTTGACACTACCATGCTCAGAACCCGTCGACACCAGACGGCAGCCTTTCAGTCAGAGCCTCGATTTGAACAAGAGTGAGCGAGCGAGATTTGGCCAGCGCCGCTTTGAACAGTTTTACAGTTATATCAGGCAGGTCAACTTGGTGACAAACATAGAAACATAATCGGGGCGACCCGGGACTTAACCCATGATCATATGTCTATTGATTGCTATGATCTATGCCGAGTTGGAGTCAGATTACACACTGTCCCATTCGTTCTCAAATTCAACCACACATTGAAGAATGATGCAATGGGGTATACAAACAAACACAACACCGTGAACACTTACTTACTGTGTTGTATGATGGAGAAATGTGTGGACGAAACCAGAGTCAAGACCCTCTACAACGAAGCTGGAAAAACCTGTGCTTAATATAACCGTTTATAAGCTGGCCTGAGACCACAGTTACCAGTTGCGTTTTAAGTGACAAGTGGCAGGTTGGTCAGCATGCAACAGGAGAACAGCCTCCGACTGATAATAATTATGGTTGGCTGCCATGTCACTGTAGATGGCAAAGAAGGAAATTAATTGTGGTCTGAGGCCTGATATGGTGAGGCTTTTGCACATGTTTGATTCATTATAGCTCTATACTATACTATGTAATAAATTGACTTGAAACTTGGCATGTATATTCACCGTAAGTGTTGAAATCTTTGTACATGTGTTTTCAGGTTGTAATACGTTTTATATATTTTTTAATGATTTGGTTTACTTTTTCGAACGTGCAGTTTTATGCATATTGTTGAAATAAATGAATGCAAGCATCATAATAAGTCATATGAGTTCCAATATGTTAGAATCATGTATCCCTACACCTGTTGTGCCTCGTATGAGCTTGGACAATATCTATATGGCCAACATTGAAAAGCCAAAAGTGGCCAACATTGCACGTGTCAAAACGGCACATGTCAAATCTGGTCTAGGTCATGTTTCAGGTCTTGCTTGCTGGCCGCAGTAGGCCGCAACAGCCTCACAGAGGTAGAGATGCCCTCACAGTCAGGTGTCGACAGCCTAGTGCCATCCAACCTAGACTTGGTAACCAGTGAGAAGTCTTCAGCACTCATCCTACTGACAGTCCTGGGTATCTGGGGTGGAGAGGCACTTTCTGTCTCTTCAGATTCAAGGGTGAGACCTTTCTTCCAGGGAGTGTGGCCCTTGCTGAACTGTGACTTGATTCTCTTGCGATCGCCTTTCATCATGATTGTCTCGGACAGAACTAATGAGCTCTGAGCACAATATGTACTTGTATACCCCATCACTGTGTAATGTCACTGGCAATGACAAGCATGTAAATGTATTAGAAACTCTCAAGACATACATACATATGTCTTGTGTCAGCAGTCCAAATTGTAATACCAATCCACAGACACGTAATCGGTACTCACTTTAATAACTGGCGATAACATTTGTTGAAATATGTTCCAGCATAACATTTCTGCAATGTGTTGAAAACATTGCAATAACATGTAATGAAACAGTATTCGCTATGTTACAGCATGATGTTCTTGAATAACATTTTAAAAACATTTCAATAACATTTCCTGAAATAGTTTCTGGCTTAACATTTCTGCAACGTGTTAAAACATTGTAATACCAGTGAAATAGTTACGCCTATGGATGATGTTCTTGACAAACATTTTAAGAACATTTCAATAATATTTTGAATAATAATAAAACATGTACACATCATGCGGATGTTTTTACATATGTGCACACAATGTATACACCTGGAACTTAATTAAGCGCCACCGAACTAAATATGACACAGAATTATGAATACCGAAAATAAGGAAACAACGATTATTTATTAGACAATATGGCCCTTTCCCTACATCATCACACTGACAATGCCACGATCTACGCGATTGGGTGTTCAAGAAGTTGGTGTTTGTATCAATTCTTATATTTCCTCAATTTCATGCATTATTTGTATTTATCATATTTAAGTTTCCTTTTAACTTATTTTAAACAGTTCACACATTATGACTTTTGTCGTGCAAGGTGCAATCTCAATCGGCAATAATCAGTTAAGTAAGTGATGTTTGAGAACAAGTAAAGTATCATCTGTCATTGTACACACTGAATAGAGTCATCACCCCTTCTAAATATTTATTTTGACACACAAGTTATTTTGTGAACTAATTTCATTTATATCGTCATATGTTTCGATGAAAATCATGCCAAAACGATAGTGCGTTGTGCAGAAAACACCACTATGAAACGTGAAATAAACATGATCGACGGTCTCGAGTTCGCCAAGCCACGCATTGACTGAGCAAATTTGCAAAAGTACACTGACGTGTTTCCTGTCATGCAGTTCTTTTACGATACAAAACTTCTGTCATTGAATATACTGTCACATTGTACCTATATGCCAACGAGGTTATGATAAAACAATCTATTTCTGAAATAGTATCTCGACATGCACCTTTCGATTCATTTCCGGGATCCTGACAGCAAAATGCTAATTCCAGTGTATTACAGGCATATTTTAGTTGGACCTCAGGATTAAATGTGAAATATCTTCTGTATTAGATACAGAGGATACCATTTTTTGTTTGTTTGAAATGTCCATCAGTGAAATGCACAACATGCTGTCTGTTCCCTAACAACTGATGCGACGTACACTGCATCGAGCTATGCTCTCCAAGCCTCGTTTTCGATCCAAGATGGCGAAAGTGTGAAAAAGGTCAATATTTCTTGGTTGTCCAAATCATCGTTTACTTCTACTACATGCATGGTTGGAGGCAAGATCAAAGTCGCCGCCCAGCTTAACTAAGACAACAGACAGTGTCGTTCGTTTCGCTTTGAACCACCACCCGCACCCTGTCGGTAGGAGTTATATAATCGGTGCCCAAATAACTGTGTCCAGTCTACAAACGGGTTTGAAGCGGTGTCTGTGTCGAATGATTTTGTGATAGTAGTGAAAAAGTTCGTTTTATACCGTATATTGTTTGTTACTAACTATCCTCTTATTTGCCAAAAGAACAGAACAAAACCCCATGACCGATGCATTGGTGCCTTGATATGCAACAAGAAAGAAAACGGATATTACCAACAGTAAGTCAGCTAACTGGAAGATCCACTGACTACTGCATTCCTTATAGAGGCTAAACGGTCCTCTGTGTGTGTACTAGACGTAACATTCGAAGATAAATAAAGTGAATTTTAAGGCTGTACGGGCTATGGAACCGAGAGATAATATGTCCAAAATGCATATGTTGTGAATAAGAGGATGTCTATGCTAGAACGTTTGATCATGAGAGCGAAACATTGAAGTAGATACAGGAGAGTTGGGACACTGCCTGTGTAACACCAACCATGCGGTTTGAAATCAGTCACTGACATGATAGATGAGGTTGATAATAACACCAATTTTTGCTTTCATAGAAAGCATTATGAGAACTGGGGAGCCAATATGCACGTATTACAGCATTCGCACACGGAAGCAATCTGTAGTTGATATGGTGTAGTTTTAATTACTCTGAACACATATATAGCAACAGCAAGCAAATTAACAAGTCCATGGAAAATGCTTTGTTGCACGTTAATGTCTGTTGTTTTCACTTTGTCATAATACATCATAAAAGAGTAAGAGAAGGTTTAGGATTCCTGTTGAAAGTACTAAAATAACAACTGTTGGTTACCGAAACTGAGAGTTTTTTATGATAAAAAACATTGACTATTCATTTCTTCTCTTATTTTCCAATGTAGTTCACTTCAAATGTCTTCTCTTTAAACTGTTATGGTAATGAGCCTGTTGAATGTCACCCTGTGAGATCTGTCAAATCTATCACGGATTTGATGCTATCCTCAGGTTTAGCAAGTTCCAATTTTCTCCACTAGTTACTGGAAATGTTTAGGAAAATATTTCCTTTCTCCCTCAACCCTATCTTTCATATATAATCTTATATAATCCATACAATAAACTGTTCATTCATTAAGATATTGATGGGTGTAGGGAACAGTCCCTTTGAATATTTATGATTTAACACACAAAGTTATGCACAATTTAACAGATTATAATAAAATGAATATCAAAATTCATTACCACTTGCCAAGTTTATTATATTATGTTATGTTATGTTATGTTATGTTATGTTATGTTATGTTATGTTATGTTATGTTATATTATATTATATTATATTATATTATATTATAAATTCTGACTATAAATTATGTATATATGTAATCTGTTCACAGTTTCAGTTTCAGTTTATTTCTCTGAAAAAAACAACTCCAACGGTGGTACACAGGGACAGGAAGTCGATCATTCTTAAGCGTTGTTTTCACATAACAGACGATAATCCCCCTGCTGACTCTGCTATGCTCGCCTTATTCTGCGAGAAAAAGTTCTGCTCTAGTGACCTACTGCGAGAGTAGGCTTCCTTCCCGGGAATAGCCCTGCCTTCTGGCTTCAAACGACCGAGGCATTTTTTTTGTAATCTAGGCTTGCATACATTTACATACATTTACACACGCACGCATACATACATAAATACACACCCATAATTTACATACATACATCAACGTAATGGTACATACATCCATACATACCATGCACACATACAGCCATGTTATCACACGTACATACTGAACAGGCAGGAAGCGGGTGCCTTGATTTGATAATCACCGACTCATCAAGAGTGTCAGTCAGTATGTATTCAAAACGGTGTACTCCCGGTTTCCCAACATTGGAAAACTTAGAACAACACAGGGATTAATGGACTAACACCTGTGAGTATGTCCCACTGTCTTTTTAGGGGTGACCAACGCTCTATGGACACACTACGATTTCAATGAATAGGAGTATGAACAAACATGCAGTCATGGATTTTTTTTATTTATATAGTATTTGATTTCACATGATTTCCTTATCACAGCATGAACATGATTGAATTTTACAATTAATATTCTAATATCACAACGGTTTCTAATGTCTCAACATCAAATTTAAAATACAAATCGACAATTTATAATAAACCAACACTACATTTCATGATCATCACAATCGTACAAAATGGGCCACAGCATCTTCAAATTCAATTGTTGACTTTCTTCCCTCACGTAAGTGTCTCTTTTCTGCACCAAGTCTGGTCTCAAGATGTCGATTCTTACTTGATATCAATAATTCATTTATGGATACCAAAGAAAGAATTTATATCACAAATTTGATTTTATTATATCATGAAATGTTTACTGATATCGCAAATCGATTTGTAGATATCAATAACTGAATTTATTATTCCAGATAATGTACTTTATCATCTAAAAAATCAAATATGGTTTTGTATCTATAGCCTTCGTGTCCGTGACCTTATGCCCACTTTGCAAAAGTTCGTGCAGATAGCTACAGTACCGTAACATTTACATATATAGATATTCAGAGGATGTCTCTGCATATATTTAGGGGCAAGCTTCGTCCCTTTATTTAATCAGTTTTCCTCCTGGCTCTGAATGTGAAATACATGCTTTACATATGTATCTTGTTATCATTGAATTTTAATGTGATATGAATACTATTATTTGCTATTGCACTTACTTACTTGTTTTACATGAGACGTTTTATATTATCAGAAATTACATTTATTGCTTGTAAGCTCAACACAACTGACAAATACTCTAAAACATATGGTGAGTAAACTTTCAATGTACATTGCAAAAATATATGTTGTAAATACCAAAATGATGTATCAAAGATCAAGTAGAAGATGTATTGACAGTAGCGCTGGGAATTTATTCAACAAGCCCGTGAAAACATCCACTGCTTTATCTCCATGTTCAGATCCCCTTGGCGACCATTATGCAACGGCCATCTTATACACGTCTACAGGTCTCTTCCTGCGGTACGGTAAATAGTAGAACCATCTACCTCAAGTGTATCCTCCATGATAAAACCTACTCTCATTAAACAAATGCTGCCCTTTCCCAGCGTCATGGCTTTGGAGCTGAGACAAAGAGAGACACAACCATCATAAAGTAATTAGGGTCCGATAAAACCAATGCTCCGCCAAACCTCATTAACATGATCACTGAAAGTCGTACTGCAGACGTTTAATGTCAAATTACAAAGAAAGCATTTGAATAGCAATAACATTTACCAGGATTATGTATTCTCTTAACACAATCGCAAAACATCACGTATAAGCCGAAACAGTACTCATACTATCCAACATACTATCTAAAAATGTGACATCAGCAAGTACATATAACAGTGTGTTTTGACACTTTTCGTCAGGATATCAAACATTTCTCTACTTCAGGTCTTTGAAAGGCAGCTATAAGTGATACACATAAGGAAGAGAATATATGGATGTCAACCTCTTTATGATGAGGAACACAACTTTTCGGAGTAAATACTTACTCCTTCATCAGGTGAATGAATGCCATGAATCAGGAAAGCATATATATGTGCATGTAAGGACATTAAAATTAATAAGATAACAAAAGGTGGAAATTAACAAAGGGTAGAAACTAACAAGGGAAGCAAACAGATGGTAGAAGCTAACAAAGGAAGCCAACAGATGATTGGCGCTGATAGGTGATTAGCAATAGACAATGGAAGCCAACACTTGTGTCCCGAATTGCAGGAAAATATTCTTCTGTCATGATCTTCATTTTGTTGCCTCGCAGGTCATATTCGTATGATCGGTGGTGGAGGAGGGTGAGGAACAGAAACGAAGCAATCGGCTGAAATACAATAAAGGTTATGTAACATATAGCATCTCTGTCTGACATTACTGAGTATTATCAGAGCGCTTGAAGTAAGTTTCGCAACTAAATTCATGTGCGTCATGTACATTACGATTGTAGCGAATGTCGTATATTGGCAAAAATCAGAACAAGACCTTTCGTCGCAGTTTCTTTTAACGCCTCAGAAATCGTTACAGTTCACCTTGCATTTGCAATCAAATGACATCCCGTTCGGTTGAGATAAACACATACCTACTACAATACAACCTCATACCAAGTGATGTATAGTAAGATGGCTCGAGGTAGCTCATAAGATCTTCCGACTTGATGTCCTGGTGATATCAAACACATCCTGGATCGACAACCACATCTACTCCATCACCCCCATGAGCGCCAACTACATCTACTCCCTCAAAACGTTGAGCAGGAACTAAATCTGCTCCAACAGCGCCTGGACAACAACTACATTCACTGCACAGACATCGTAGTAATTCTCTCCAGTAAATGCACCATTGATGGTCTTAAGTCACCTTATGCTTAAACACAACTACATTGTCGTCAGATGTAAACCATAACTGGTCCAGAGAACTGACGTGACTTGTCAAGTTATATTGGTAGTTCTTATGAACAAACTTTGGTGATAGACGATGCCTCGAGATAGCTCATAAGATCTTCTGATTTGTTGTCCGGGTGATATCAAGGACATCAACTTCAATTCCCTTCCAGTTTGTGAAAACAAAATAAATGTCCACTGCAGGACAAATTAGTCTCGTGCGTCATGTCTTTATAATATAGGTCTTTAGAACTTGATCATCATATTTGGACAGTCACAAGGAACGACATGTTTAATGTGCCATTTACATACAGATAATTCTTCAGGAGATTTTCGGGCTTTGGAGATGGCCTGGAGACATGATACTATATAAATACCGATGTCTCAGAATAATTCCAATACACTGGTCTTGATATACAGTTGGAAAATAATAAGGGAATGAATATAGAGAATCTCACCCGAGTTTCTTTTGATATCAAATATAACAACTCGAGTTGTTAAAATGGATAAACTCGGAGGAGGCTTGCAGAGGACTTTTTTCACACACAACACACAAGAGTGGGATTTTATTTGTCATCTAACATCATTCTTCCAACTTTTTCAATTTGTAGACAGTAATAAGCACTGTAAAAAGTACTGCTTATGACGAGAGAAATCAGAAAGGGCTTCACACATTGAAACCATTTCGGGAATCGATCCCGAGTCTTCGGCGTGACGTGCGAACGCTTTAACCACTAGGCTACCAAACCGCCCCTACTGCTAACAGCTTCAGTAGCAGCGCTATTAGTGATGTCATTTGATGTCGCTTGTTCTCACCCAAGCGATATCTCCCGTGGGAGCCAGTTTAGGGTGGTAAATAATGTTATGTTCAGACAAGTCCTTGGTCTTATTATGTTTGGTGCCCTTTGAATTACCAAAAGGCAAAGGTAGATATAAAACTAATTTTAGAAACAAATCAACCAATAACAAACGTTATATAGATGTCATTAAGCAAACAATGTTAGAGTGCCCTTACAAATGACATAGAGACTGTTTTGTCCATTCAGGATAATTGAAAACACCATCATACCTTCATTTATTGACAGGTGGGCTGATGTCATTTCCTCTCCCACTCTGTAAGCATATTTCCCTGTATCAGGAGGATGGACATCTGTGACAGTCAGCTGACGGCCCTTTCCATTGATAGAGATTTGTGTTTTGTCAGAACGAGTTAGTGTGACGTCGTCTCTGGTCCACTCACCGGCCTCCTCAGTGTTATCATGTAGCCTCAGCCTGAAGGTGGCCGAGTCTCCCAACATTACTGTGCTGTTCTTCAGACCAAGTTCTATACCTGGTGGCGTATTATGGAAACAATAAAAGCGTTTGTCTATCGTTGTTTTCTAAGAATGTGACCCTGATCATGATGGTGATAACGGAAACTAAACCCCTTCTATACATCATCATTATTGCGGAAAATAAAACACATTTATATCCAACCCTAGCTAATAATAGGCAACATTATATCCCATATGGTTGGCCTGGGTTTTTTTCGATAAAAATAAAATTTATACCAGAAAAAAGCTTGAAAGAAATAATTATGTTTCAGATTGCTGAAAAAATCACATTGCAAGCCACAAAAAAACCCATTGTTGCGAGATGTTCTGTATAAAAGAAATATTTAGGCTCATCAGTCTTAATCCAAAAACGATATCTCGTTCTGTAGCTGAAAAAATACAAAATCCCGGACCATCCAGATTATCAAAGGTAGGTCCGTAAGTGTCGCCATGCTTACCATCTGTTTTTGAATTGGTAATCACACGAAAGTTATCGCGAAACGCAGGGCGGGAGTCTCGGCCTGCAACAACAATATTGATACACATGCTGATGATACAGGTTCGAAACAGAAGACAACGTTTAACACAGGCCTTAGTCATCAAAACATAACCAGTACTGAGACTAAATGAGAACACATGGTCCAATGTTGCCACTGGAACTTCTTCCGCCGTCCAGTATCTCCTGTGTACTTATTGCGTCACACAGGGTCGTTCTTTGTCATTCGAGTAAATATTTACAGCTAAAATGTGTGTGTGTGTGTGTGTGTGTGTGTGTGTGTGTGAGAGTGAGAACAGCTATGACGTCGTTTCTAGTGTGACGTCATTCCGACCCAACGTCACAATAAGGTTCGAATGACGTCAACAATGTTGTCCGAATGATGGAAACAATACACTGTTGTCTCGTGACGTCATATGACATAATGCAAGAAGTGGTAAGAATACTACACTCATTCTCGTTAGATACCATTTTTACGAAACGAGTGGACTTTCGTAAAAATGGTATCTTACGAGAATGAGTGTGGTATTTTATTTATTACCCATGTCATAATATGTATTTTAATGAAAATACATAAAAAACTTTCGTTCGTTGACAGACCAAACTGAAACCGGTTGCAAAATCTGGTCGTGCATGATTATTGATACATGCCCACTGTTGACATTTTTATGCATATGCATAACAACATGCTCTTGCTGTTGTGTTTGCAAACATAACAGCACCGACGCTCAAGGTCCGTTTGGTAGAATTTTTTCAACTTTTGGTAATCAAGCGCCATGTTGTTAGTACGCAGGACACCTATAAGAAAATTTTATAAGTCACATTAGCGCCGCTCTTTGAATATTGGACCAACGCTCCCGGCTGTGCAATCAAAATGGTTCGGTTTTCTTGATCTATCAATTGAATTTATATCCTGTCCGTACCATTTTGGAAAAGGGAAGTCAGAGTGTTCGAAAAAGACATTCATGGTAACTGTTCCACCCTAAACTGAAGACGTGAACATCAACAAACTCAAGTCTGTTTGCATGTCAGTGATAGCTTCGAACGAAGGGCAAGGTCACCACCGGAATAAGAAAAGACAACCGTGATCTACTCACAGCGTTTTGAGCTAGAGATAGGGAATGTTATTGTTCACATTTGGGATGTTTTGGATCACATAAGTCAGGCACACTTCTATGGAGTTTTCGAATGATTAGTATCGGAACTGTTCACCTTTAGTGATCTGGTCGTGCAGTCGTGTATGTTCAATCATGAACTAACACCTCCGGAAGCAATGTCTTTAAATACATTTCGAATGGCGACACTGATGGCACAACCGGAGCATCGAACGTAGGTCTAGATATCTGTCCAGATAGTTTAAAATGACTTCATTTCACAACGCTCAACCTTTTATGTTAAATCAAATTGAAAGTTGCGAAAGTGGTCGGATGCGTTACGTTCATTTGGACACTCGATCCATCGGTAGACATTGCATATAGATATGCATGGCTCGATTAGTTAATGTCTGCAGTAGCTCTATGCATAACTAATATAAAATGCAAAGCGAATTTTATGCGTGTGACGATCTTCTTTGGTTTACTAAAGTGTGTGTAAATGTCTCTCCCTTTCGTGAGATTCCTTTAGTTCTGCTTTATAGCTTTATAATGACGTCTCGCGATTTTTTTATGAATGAAAAAAGTAGTTCCGGTATGATGGAGGTCACGGTTATCCAATCAAAACCAATAAAGCGAGGTCAACATTGTACGTCACACGTTTGACGTACGGATTTAGTATCTTACCACCTGTATCTTCACCCGGTGGCTAATAAATGACTTTTATGAACACCGATATGTTTGCCCTCGTAGGTAAAAAATAGTATTATCCCATGTTTGTATCACGTATCAAGTAAACCGTATGTTGTTACATGATGAACCCTGGTTCCTTGTGTCATAGTGTTACACTGTGCTTGTTTGACTGTTTCTTGTTTTACGCCGCATTCAGCAGAAGTCCAGCTATACGGAGGCGGTCTGTAAATAATTGAGGCTGGAACAGACAATCTAGGGACTGACATCATGCACATCGATCTGCACAATAGAGGTGGCGATGACATGCATCAACGAAGCACAAGACATAGTTCTAAAAACCAAATCAGTAAGCCGAACATTCCGATACTGCTTGTTGCGTCTGAAGGCGATAAAGACCAATTCTCACCTGGATCTTCACGCGACCAGCATTTTCTGAAAATCACCAGCATTAACGCAAATCCACTGTTGGAGTACACAGAACCGGAAGAGTTGACGCGCGTTACTATTCCATGCAATGTTCCAGCAAGTAGCATGAATTGCTAAATCAGTCAACAATATTTTGTAGGTTTCTCATTTCTAATGGATGTAGAAGTGTTGGTGAGATAGGTGTTTGTGAGACAGGTGTTGCCGAAACTTGTGTTGGTGAGATAAGTGTTTGTGAGACAGGTGTTGCCGAGACAGGTATTGCTGATATAGGTGTTGCTGAGGAAGGTGGTGGTGAGGCAGGTGTTTGTGATACAGGTGGTGGTGAGACAAGTGATTGTGATACAGGTGGTGATGAGACAGGTGGTGGTGAGACAGGTGTCGGTGAGCGAGACGGTGGTGAGACAGGTGTTTGTGTTACCGGTTATGGTGAGACATGTGGCGGTGAGACAGATGGTGGTGAGACAGGGTGTGGTGAGACATGTGGCGGTGAGACAGGTGGTGGTAAGACAGGTGTCGGTGATACAGGTGGTGGTGAGACAGGTGGTGTTGAGACAGGTGGCGCTGAGACAGGTGTCGGTGAGCGAGACGGTGGTGAGACAGGTGTTTGTGTTACCGGTTATGGTGAGACATGTAGCGGTGATACAGATGGTGGTGAGACAGGTGTCGGTGATACAGGTGGTGGTGAGACAGGGTGTGGTGAGACATGTGGCGGTGAGACAGATGGTGGTGAGACAGGTGTCGGTGATACAGGTGGTGGTGAGACAGGTGGTGGTGAGACAGGTGGCGGTGAGACAGGTGGTGGTGAGACAGGGTGTGGTGAGACATGTGGCGGTGAGACAGATGGTGGTGAGACAGGTGTCGTTGATACAGGTGGTGGTGAGACACGTGGTGGTGAGAGAGACGGTGGTGAGACAGGTGGTGGTGAGACAGGTGGTGGTGAGAGAGACGGTGGTGACACAGGTGTTTGTGATACAGGTGGTGGTGAGACAGGTGGTGGTGAGACAGGTGGCGGTGAGAGAGACGGTGTTGAGAAAGGTGGTGATGAGAAAGGTGGTGGTGAGAGAGGTGGTGGTGAGACAGGTGGCGGTGAGAGAGACGGTGTTGAGAAAGGTGGTGATGAGACAGGAGTTTATGAAAGAGGTGGTGGTGAGGCAGGTGGTAATGAGACAGGTGTCGGTGACACATGTGGCGGTGAGACTGGTGGAGGTGAGACAGGTGGCGGTGAAACAGGTGGCGGTGAGACAAGTGGCGGTAAGAGAGGTGGTGGTGACACATGTGGCGGTGAGACTGGTGGAGGTGAGACAGGTGGTGATGAGACAGGTGGCGGTGAGACAGGTGGAGGTGAGACAGGTGGCGGTGAAACAGGTGGTGGTGAGACAGGTGGTGGTGAAACAGGTGGTGGTGAGACAGGTGGTGGTGAAACAGGTGGCGGTGAGAGAGGTGGTGGTGAGACAGGTGGTGGTGAAACAGGTGGTGGTGAAACAGGTGGTGGTGAAACAGGTGGCGGTGAGACAGGTGGTGGTGAGACAGGTGGTGGTGAAACAGGTGGTGGTGAAACAGGTGGCGGTGAGAGAGGTGGTGGTGAGGCAGGGGGTGGTGAGAAAGCTGTTTGAGGTACAGGTGGGGTTGAGGCGGGTTGCGGTGAGACAGGTGGTGAGAGAGGTCTTGGTGAGAAAAGTCTTGGCTAGACAGGTGGTGGTGAAACAGGAGGTGGTGAAACAGGTGGCGGTGAGAGAGGTGGTGGTGAGACAGGGTGTGGTGAGGCAGGTGGTGATGAGACAGGTGGAGGTGAGACAGGTGTCGGTGAGACAGGTGGTGGTTAGACAGATGGTGGTTAGACAGGTGTTTGTTATACAGGTGGTGGTGAGGCAGGTGTTTTTTGATACAGGTGGTGAAGAGAAAGGTGGTGTGAGACAGGTGTTTGTGATACAGGTGGCGGTGAGACAGATGTTTGTTATACAGGTGGTGGTGAGGCAGGTGGAGGTGAGACAGGTGTCGGTGAGACAGGTGTTTGTTATACAGGTGGTGGTGAGGCAGGTGTTTTTTTATACAGGTGGTGAAGAGAGAGGTTGTGGTGAGGTGGTTGGCGGTGAGACAGGTGGTGGTGAGACAGGTGGGGGTGAGACAGGTGGTGGTGAAACAGGGGGTGGTGAGACAGCTGTTTGATGTACAGGTAGTGGTTAGGCGGGTGGCGGTGAGACAGGTGGTGAGAGAGGTCTTGGTGAGAAAGGTCTTGGTGAGACAGGTGTTTGTAAGACAGTTGTTGATGGCACAAGCGTTGATGAGACATGTGTTTGTGAGACAGGTGTTGGTGAGACAGGTGTTGGTGAGTCAGGAGGCGGTTAGACAAGTGATGGTGAGACAAATGCTGAAGGGACATGTGTCGCTGTGACAGGTGGTGAGACAGGTGTTGGTGAGACAGGTGTTTGTAGGACAGTTGTTGATTGCACAGGTGTTGATGAGACAGCTTTTGGTGAGAGCGGTGTTTGTAAGATAGTTGTTGATGGTACAGGCGTTGACGAGCAAGTGTTTGTGAGACAGGTGTTGGTGAGACAGGTGTTTGTTTGACAGGTGTTGGTGAGGGCGGTGTTTGTAAGACAGTTGTTGATGGTACAGGCGTTGACGAGCAAGTGTTTGTGAGACAGGTGTTGGTGAAACAGGTGTTTTTAGATATGACAATGTCAAGCAATAATACAGCTAGGCCGTGAAAATACAACTAGACTGTGACAGTGTCAAGCAGTAGCACAACTAGACTGTGACAGTGTCAGGTAGTGGTACAACTAGACTGTGACAGTGTCAAGCAGTAATACAACTCGACTGTGACAGTGTCAAGCAGTAATACAACTAGACTGTGACAGTGTCAAGCAGTAATACAACTAATCTGTGACAGTGTCAAGACGTAAAACGACTAGACTGTGACAGTGTCAAGCAGTAGTACAACGAGATTGTGACTGTGTCAAGTAGTAATACAACTAGACTGTAAAAGAGTCAGACAGTAATACAAATAGACTGTGACAGTGTCAGGCAGTAATACAACTAGACTGTGACAGTGTCAGGCAGTAGT